AACGCATCAAAAAATATTTGATAAAAATACATTTTGCGACCTGTAGTTTTTGTTTTTTTAAAAAGCCCATTTTTGAGCTAGAATGCTCATCTTCGAACTCGATCTGTCTAGGGTTCTACTTTCACGAGTTACCCATTAGAAGCCTATAAAAAAATAATTGAAAAAAAAGTATTTTGCGACCTGCGGTTTTTGATTTTAAAAAAAGCCAAATTTTGAGCTAGAATGCTCGTCTTCGAACTCGATCTGTCTTTTTGTGATACAAAACGACCCTGAAATTCCCAGATCGCTCTCTCAATTCTTTCTCGAGTTATCGTGCGGACAGACAGACAAACAAACAGACAAACAGAATGAAACTTTTCCGGTCAGTGGAGTAATGGGCTTCGCTAATCGCTCACGCCACATCTAGCTAGGCCTGCGGCGCTGACACCCCAGACAAGTTAAATTTTACGATTTAATAGACCATTTTGTCGTTTTCACCTTATTTTCGCCAAGAAATGCTCCCTAGCTCCCAAACGGTGCGAGATAGAGCAAAACGGACAAAATTTTCGTCCACAGGTTTCTACTTTCACGAGTTATCCCTTAGAAGCCCATAAAAAAATATTTGAACAAAAGAAATATTTTGCAACCTGTGGTTTTTGATTTTTTTACAAAGCCAAATTTTGAGCTAGAATGCTCGTCTTCGAACTCGATCTGTCTTTTTATGATACAAAACGACCCTGAAAATCCCAGGTCGCTATCTCAATTCTTTCTCGAGTTATCGTGCGGACAGACAGACAGACAAACAAACAAACAGACAAACAGAATGAAACTTTTCAGGTCAGTGGAGTAATGGGCTTCGCTAATCGCTCAGCCAATAAAGATTACCGTAGCAACCAAACCAAGTGGTAGACAGGAATGGATAGACCAAACCTACAAAGAACGAAGTTGTATGGAAAATACTTTAAAATGGCATCCAAGCGATCCTATTAAGGACATCAGGTGCAGGAAATGTAGAAAACGATACCATAATGCCAAAAACTGCCAAAATTAATTAACGCAGTACTCTGCCAAAATTGAAATGTAAAAGAATGTGCTATTTGTAATCAACTCCTAAGAAACTGTATAGATAAATAATCATGCTGTATGTAAAATAAGGGTCAAAGTGTTCATGCTCAAATAAAGTGATATGAAAGGATTAAAAAGGAGTATCAATACAAACAACCAAAAGTTCATAACATAAGTTTAGTGAGCGAAAGATGCCATCAAGAACAGACGGAAAACAATACGCGAACACAGTCCATAGGGGGTTTTAAAACAAACAAATTACAATAGCAAATTCTAAGAATCAAATAGTCCATGAGAAATAAAAAGTAAAATGATGCAAGGGAAACAAGAAGTTAAATCAGGATGCAAAATCATCAGGCATCATCAAAATTAAAATTGAGCATCATCAAATTAAGAATTAAGCTTCCAGAAATCATTAAAAGTACAAGCTCATTAAAATTAAAAGCCTAAGTAATATCACAACCTGAAAAGAAAGAAAGAGACAAACATGTAAAGCACGAAAATAAAGGAGACAACAGAAAGAAAAAAAGGGACAACACTAACCTCACTTTAAGAGTAGTGGAACCAGCTAAGCAAAAATACAAAATCAATCTGCAAAAGAAAAAAAATTAAAACATAAAGAAAAGAACAAATAACCGAAATAGGAGAGGAGAAAAGAAAACAAACTCACTACGACGGCGTAAGTTACGGCGAGCTCTGCGTAGAGCAGCAGGGGCGGCCGCAGCACCTTGATCCATGTCCTGCTCATCATCAGAAACTAGGTCTACGACCATCACAGGAGCAACGGGGGCCGGAGCCGGAGGGATTGGAAGGTCCAGGGCACCTAACAGCCCCGCTAAGTCCTCAAAGTAGGGATGATCGGGGTGATCAGGATGCATGAGTGGATAAACGACGCCGGGCGGAGGCACTTGGGGCACTACCGGCATCAGGTAGTGTGGCCCATTTGGGCCCATATGAGCCAGCTGAACTGGGGTGAGGGCGAGAGTCCTAGGAAGCTGAAATGAAAAAAAAAATATATAAATAAAATATAAACTCCCACAAGGTCAATAAAAAGGGAGCCTAGGCAAAAAGGGGAGGCACTTACCCAGCAAGGCCCAAGACAGCAGCCACAATCATAAAAACCATCCTCCTGAAGCCTGCTCATAGGCACCCGGGTTTCGAACCGAAAAAAGAGGGGTTGTAAACCCTCCAGTGGGGGTTGATACTGACACACTGGTAACACTCACAGCAGATCTAAAAGAAAAAATAGAAAAAACCGTGAGATAAGACTCACAGGCAAGGCGGAACGGCACCCAGAACACAGAGAGACGCCCCAGGAAGGAAGCCGGTTTTATCACTATAAAACTGCAATCCACTATAAAACTTTTACTTGCCCTTTTGTCTACGTGGTCCTCCACGGTGAATCCGAGATAAAACTCCACAACAATTCTGGCAGTCATTTTTAGTGAGGAAGAATTACACAAGACAGAACAACTGGAGCTCACTTGGAAACGACCGTTACGGGTTTTGGCGGCAAAGCTGACCGTCCTTCCAGAACACGGCAGGAGGGGAAAAGGAAGGAGTGGGGGTAACCCACTGCGCATGAGCGGCCCGCGCGGCCGGGTATGAGAATAAAAGAGGAACGCCGCCAGAACAGTCTGAGCAGGCGGAGAGAAAGGACGGCTAGCAGAGCAGCACTAGCCAAGAAAGAAAGTTCTAAACCAAGGAATTGGATAAAGAACCAGAATAATTAAACACGTCAAGACTCAAGACAACGCTGGAATCAAAGGAAATCACCAATCAACGCAGGTAGAGGAAGATCAACGCTGGATTAGATACGCGGAGCATCTTTATTTTAAAAGTTAAGTATTCTTGACCTTCAAGAGGTTAATAAGAAACGTTGTAGTGTTCAAAAATCAAAGGTGTCACGTAGATAGGTCTAGTCAGTCGTGTAGGAGACACTTAGGGCCAGTAATTACA